TCTATCTCGATGCTCTCGAGCTCCACCACCTCGCCCCGCGAGTTGTAGATCTTGCCGTCGTCCCCGATGTGCAACTCCTCGGCTCTCCTCTCTGCTGGGGGCTCCTCGGCTCTCGTCTCGGCTGGGGTTTCCCTGGCCCTTGCATCCACCGGCACACTGGACACTGGTGACCATGGCGGCAGACTGGACACAGGTGACCACTCTGAGGGTGCAGAGGCCCCTCGTCCGGCTGACCTCGGGTCTCTCGGTGGCGTGGGAAGCCTCCTCCGCGGCGGTACCGGTGGTGGGGGATTGATCTCCAAGCCTCCTTCCACCTTCAGCTGTGGCACCTTCACTGCACGCGCGGCCTCCACCTTGGATCGTGCTGGTGGCGTTCTCGGTTGCGGTACCATTGGCGATCCTGGTGGTCCTGGGGGTTCCTTGATGACTTCTGAAACCGTGACCTCCACGAAAGGAACTTCCAGGCCTTTGATTTGCGCGAAGTGGTCCTTGACATGTCTTTCCAATGTCCTCCGCACCGGAGGCCCCTTGTGCTCCTCGGCCTTCTTCTTCATGGCGTTGTTGATGGCCTTCATGAGGTAGCCCTGCTTCTTCTTTTCCTTGGCTCGCTGCGAAAGCATTCTCAGCGCAGTCTCCGTCTGCCCGGGAATCCCGCGCTGGGCCCGGCTCTTCAAGACGATCTTCCGGACCTTGGCTGGCATTGCCTTCACCACGGGCGGCTTGGGCTGCCTCTTCACCAGTGGCTGTGGTGGGTCCTTTGACCCCGAAGACGGCTCCGCCTTTGCTCTGGCCACACTGCCCTTGGGCTTCTTGACCTCTGGGACCCCGATCGCTTCGGCGACCCTCTTCTTGGCCTCTGTGGCTGCCTTCTTCTCTGCCTCCACGGCCTCTGTGGCTGCCTTCTTCTCTGCCTCCGTGGCCTCTGTGGCTGCTTTCTTCTCTGTCTCCGCGGCCTCTGTGGCTGCTTTCTTCTCTGCCTCCTCGGCCTCTGTGGCTGCTTTCTTCTTTGCCTCGGCCTTGGCGGCTCTCTTCTTCTTTGCTTCCTCTGCTTCCTTGGCCCACTGGGCGCTCTCCTGGCGCTCCTTCACGAACTTCTCCGCCGCTGCTTTCGCAGCTGCCTTTGCCTGCTCTGCCGTCTTCTTCTTCACTTCCGCGGCTGGCACCAAAAGCAGGTTCTGGCCCGGCGTAAGACCCACCATCGAGGTTGCCGTAAAGGCGATCGTGGATCCCTCGAAATCCTCGTGAGTCCTCGTAACAGTCGCCGCGTGCTGCTCCGCCAGGTGGCGGCGACCCGAAAGGCGCCACTCCTGCTCCGAGTCGGAGGAGGACTCCTCGGGTGCCCGGTTGCTCCTCCTCATCCTTCTTAGAAGGCCTTCCCGACGAAGGAGCACAGCCGTCACTACGCTTCAAGCTCGCTCGGGCGGCAACTGCAACGGAAAGGTCAAGCTCAACAGCACTCGAGAAAACCCATCCGCAATTGGAGACCCATCTCGTGCGAAGAACGTACCCAGCGGCCTCAACTTTAAAACTTGGCAGGAAATCCACAACCCAGCTCTTGCCCAGCAAACGCCCTAAGGACAGCAGGTTAAACTTCACAGGAGCAACAAGCACTTGGAGTTCTGTTACCACCGTCTCGCCCGAAACCAAAACGAATGGAACCCTGACAACCGCAGACCTCCGAACTCCAATGCTGTCACCCGTTGCAGAAACACACTCACTGGCAGACTCACTGTGGCTCACAACGTGCACCCGGCTCAAAGTGTCCTCGTTGATGATGTGGGCCGACGCGCCGGAGTCAACGAGCCACCAATCCATGGTGTCATGCTGCTGGCTGGCTGCTGCTGTCTCGTGTGCTACCATGCCATGGTCAGATCTACCTACCACATGCAACATGCCATGCTCAACGACATTTTGAAAATCTGCAACAAAACGACCTGCTTCCAAGCTCAACTCTGGGGACTCTGCAAGCTCGACTGTGGTTCTGTCTGGGACCTGGTGGGACTCTGCAAGCTCGACTGTGGTTCTGTTTGGGACACCGCGGGACTCTGCAAGCTCAACTGTGGCTCTGTTTGGGTTGTCACAAGGAAAATTATCAAGCGCAACATGCAACATGGAACCCTCAAGCGCAACAGGCTCACCGCCTTCAAGCACAACAGGCTCCGACCAAGCACACTCATAAGATGCAACGAACTCCTCCCAATCCTCCTGGGAAAAATCCGAGCAATCATCCTCATCAAGCTCAACAACCGGACAACTCAGATCAACCGCAGCTGCGAAAATCTGAGGCTCCAAAGAGGCAGCCGCGACCTGCGGCTCAAGCAAAGCAGCTGCTGATGCTCTTTCCCTCTTGGGCTTGGGACACTTATTCGAGTAGTGCCCGAACTGGTCACAGTTGTAACACTTGACGTTCTTCAAGCGCTCTGCTTTCTCCTTCTCCTTCTCCTTGTCATTTCCAGAACTTTGCTTGCCGTCCTCTGCGGCTGCAGTCTTCCCCTTGTCCTTGCCTTTGTCCTTTCCACCTTTCCCTTTTTCTTCCTTTCCTTTCTCATTCCCTTTCTTGTTGTCCTTTCCTTTGTCCTTTCCTTTTCCTTTTTCTTCCTTTCCTTTGTCACCCTTCTTGCCCTTTCCCTTGTCTCCGAAGGTCAAAGCATTCGCGTGATCCTTTGCTGCTCCCTTTCCTTCCTTCTCTTGGAAATTCAGGATCTTAAGGTTGGCATCATAAAACTTCAAAGCAGTCTCAAGCTGGTCCATGGAGTCAACCCTAGCATGCAAAAGAACATACTTCTTCACTTCGACATCAAGGTTTCTCAAAACAATCATGCAACGGTCTGCCTCACTCAACGCAAGATCTGGAAACCCTGCGGTCAAGCGGGTAAACTTGGCAAGCTCCAACTGGATGTTTCGAAACATGTCAAGTGGACGATTGGCAGGAGTGCTCGCGCGGTACTGCAGGGCCTCATTCCGAAGCGTCGAAGCCTCGATGCGGCTCGCAACAGACAACTCCTGATGCAACCTCCTCATGCACTCGTACCCAGCTGGGGAGCCAAGCTGCTCCTTCTCTACTTGCTTAACCAAGTCAAGCCCACGAGCAAACCCTTGCAAAGCTTGCTTCAGGTACAAGAAGGTCCTAGTTGAACGCACGCTCTGTCCCTTTTCAAGCGATGACTGCTTGATGGTGACCTCAGAAGCAATCGATCGATGAAGTTCTTCCGGGATCCTATCATCAAAGAGAGCAATCCACGGCAGGAATTGCTCCAGGAACTCAGCCCATCCTTCGATCTCCGAGCGACGGCCTTTGCTCATCTTTCCACCATCAATCGCAGGCAGCTTAGGAACATAAGCTTCAGCTTTGGGATTCCTGATGGGAGCACCTCCCTCATCAACCTCCATTTTCCCCGACGAATCGGAGATGGAACTAAGCTCTCCACCGTGGCCCTTGCCTCTCGCAGTAGGTGGCGCAGGCACTTCCCTGCTCACAAGAGCCTGAACTAGAGACGTAAGCTGAGCAACTTGCTGCTGCTGCTGCTGCACCGTCTGGTACAGAAACGTCTCCACGGTGGGCGGTGATGGTGCATTCACTGGCGAAACTCCACCAAACTCTGGCAAACCTGGTGGCGGTGGCAACACACCTCCAAGAGGGTTCGGCGAGCCAGCTGGGCTTCCCACCACCGGGCTTCCGGTTGGATGCATACCCCGTTCCAGAGCCGACAAGTTCGATACCGGACTAAAGGCAGCACCCCGAGGCACACTGCTTGCTCTCGGCCTCTGGTAAGGCGGCGCAGCGTCTGACCTACTATTCCTTCGGATCATACCAGGCTCACCTGGCACATCACCGATGTTGAAGTAGCTTGGCCTGCCACGGCCTTCCATTTCTCACAAGCACAACCAAGCAAGCAACACGCCTCAAGTCAACGTATTGGGCTCTTTCTTTTGGTTGCAAGGCAACGAGCGTTCACCACGCTCCGCTACCACGTTAAAAACCTACAAGGCGAACAGCCCTTCAGGTTTAAGGCAAACAAGTTCCAAGCACCCTTGCAAGCAAAGCAAGCTCACAAAACACTCGGACAGTTCACACTTTCAGCACGCACAGCTCATTGCTGGTCTCACGTGTCTTGAGCCAAACGACAGTAGTCGTGGCACCTCTTAAAAGCTCCCAAGCACTACAAAACAAGGGAAAACAGGTTGAGACTACCGCAAAACCGTCACGCAAGCTCAAACTGCGTTCTACAGGCACTGACCACCTGAAACTAGCAAAACCAGGTACCGAGGAAAACTCTGTGTCGCACCTAAACACTACTGGGCAGAGCACTGGTTTTCTACAGAATCCGCCCCCGCCTCGCGAAATGCCGCCACCGTCGAATCTACCGACTTGAAAATCACAGCGGCAATCGGGCTACAGCGCTGCTCACCCTGATGGAGAGACACTGAGGGTGTCAAGGAGGGCACCATATTCCGATCGGATGAGGTTGCCCTCGGTACTGCGAATGAGGACTCGGCTTCAGGAACCAGATCTGAACAATCTTGAGGAAGTCATTCGCATGTATCATTCACCGAACACGCTTCCTATCCTCAGGAAGAAGGCCGCCAGCGTCATTATTGCGATGGGTGCGAATCTGTTCGTGTGTAACTTAGTGCACGTCGTCCCAAGTGGAGTGTGTAAAGTAATCACAGGAACACATGAAACATGTGTGTGAACCGCGACACGGAGGCTTAAGCAAGTCAGCCCGCGAAGTGAGAAAAGTGTATTTGCGAGTAGTGGGAAGGAAGGCTGCGTGGTAGCGGAGCTCCCTGATTCAGACCTCTTGGGAGCGATGAAGCCATCACAGGAACAACAGGTAGCTGTTGCCATGGTTTCCTTGGCTTGTCCTTTTCGCTGATGTGTCTGGCGAGCTTTGTGAAAGAACTTGTGAGAAAGGAGACGGTGGAGCGCGTTGCTCCGGCTGAGGAAGAGCTCCCAGAACTCTGGTACTCCCCTTACGGAGAGCCCACGTTTCAGGAAGATGATGGCCTCAGGAACGCAACCAGAGTACACCGAGCACTACCATGCAAGTGCTGCTGCCCCAACGGACTTCGATCCCGAGAACAACGCATCTTCGAGCACAAGAGAACCTTTTTGGAAGCAGCAGGAAAGTACCTTTGGCCAAAAGTCTTTATGGTTGTGGTTCTCATGGGCATGTCATGGTTCATGGTGTTTGAGTGAACGAGACCTACGGCTCCCGTTGGCCACGAACCGCATGCTGAACTACAAGACAAGGTCCTCAGCCTCGACAACAAGAACCCCAAGAAGAAGCATGTGATAAAGGAGATTACCCCAGCGGACGTTGTACTGCCGGGAAGAGCCAAGAAGGTGATCACACAGAACTTTTCACGTTGTGGTCGCATCTACATGAGCCCAATACCGAACCGAGAACGAGAACGAGATCTACGTCACGAGCTACTTCAAGAAGACGAACGTGTACTCCAAGTTCTACAAGAACGAAAGAAGAAGAACATAGTTGCAACTACAGTTTTCATGAAGGTGATGTCGCGGAGTATAACGAGAACCTAAAGAACGAAGAAGTGCCCCACGTGAACTACTGCAAGAACCTTGTGTTTGAGTTGGTTTTGGAGTTTCAAGAGTACCTTGTGAAAGCAGGAAGAAGCCTTGAGCCCGTCGTGAGCTACGTCGTGCGCACGTGTCACCCAGCACGACTTCTACTTGGGACCCTGCTTGGTTGGTCACTGGGATCTACCTCTATTTTTGGGTCAGAGTTAAGCAAACAAAAAGAGAGCAGTTGAAGAAGAAAGTTTCGAGAAGGAAGTTGCACAGGTCAGTTTGCAGCGTTCTTTTCAAGAAGCGAGTTTGGTTGCATGTTGTGTTGCTTTACAGTCACATGCAGAGTGCAGTTGCAATGGAGGAAGCCTTGCAGAGGCTTACGGACCTCACTGCCCAAAGCACACAACAGATACAAGCACTTGCCCAAGCAATGAACAGTCAGCAAGTACAGGCAGGTGCCGCTTCACAACAACTACAGGAACTCGCGCAGTCAGTTTCACAGCAGCAGAGAGCAATCACTGAAGCTACCCAAGCAACCAACACAGCATTGTCACAACAAGCAGAGCTTACTGCAAACGCGGTTGCAGCAACAGGAAAGCTTACAGCAGACGCAGTCACAGCACTGTCGCAGCACGCAGAGTCAAGAAGGCCAGGAGAGATCGACCTCCACAAGATGATCAAATCTCCAGAAGTATTTGGCCCCACTACATATAAAGAAGAACGTGATGGTTTTCTAGAGTTTCGGTTGAAGATGAGAAGTTGGATAGGTGCTCTCAACAACGACATCCTTGAGAAGATCAACGCAGTTGAGATGGATAGGAGAGAAGCATCATGGGAATGGTCCAAACTCGCACCAGGTGAGCAAGCACTTTCAAGAAAGCTACATTCCATTCTCACCAGCTATACGCGTGGCCGTCCTCTACGAACTCTAAAACAAGTGCCCAACGAGAACGGTTTCGAAGCATGGAGGTTGTTGGTTGAAGAACATCAGCCGCACAATCGTGCACGTTCTCTACAACTACTTAACGGAGTTCTCCACTACAGGTTCGACAAGCAAAGGTCAACGCAAGAAAATATTCTAAAGTTCGAGGAGTTGATTGAAGAGTACGAGAGAGCGAGTGGAGACCTTGTTGCGGACGACATGAAGATTTCCATCATTCTTGGAGGAACTGAAGGGAACATGAGACAACATCTTTTACTTAACCAGAAGGAGACCACAAAGTACGGAACACTACGACAGTACCTCCTCTCCTACGAGCGACCACCAAGGACAAGCAGACATGGATGTTTCACGAGTTGAATGGTGGAAAGGCAAAGGAAAAGACAAAGGGAAAGGAAAGAAAGGAAAAGGATTTGGCAAGTACAAAGGCAAAGGTTTCGGAAAAGGAAGAGGAAAAAGAGAAAGCCAGTATCAGTACTACTACAAAGGCCGAGGAAAAGGAAAAGGACGAGGAAAAGGAAAAGGCAGAGGCCGAGGATATGGCAAAGGCGGGGGAAAAGGCTACAACAGCAAAGGAGGAAAAGGCAAAGGCTACAACAACCCAGGAGTTGCCGTCTGCCACTACTGCCAAAAGCCTGGACACTATGAAGCCAATTGCAGACTCAAGCAGAGAGACATGCAGCAGAACGTCAGGAACGCACAGGAGGAAGACGAGCAAAGCGTCAGGACACAGCCTACTACAGTTCCAAGCAGTAGCGCCTCAGCAGCAACAACAAGAACTACAAGCGCGAAGTCTACAGCTAAGCCAACAGTTCGACAGATCGCGATGTACCACATGGACGACGATCCCGTCACTTACCCTGAAATTTTTGAGCTTGATGAAGACGAAGAAGAGCTCGAGATTGAGTACTTTGGAAGAATCTTGAGAGTGACGGAAGCAGAAGAGTTTGTGTTATCAGAAGGAGAAGAGAGCGAAGAAGAGCAAGAAGATCCTCTACTAAACTGGTACCTTGGACGTGAAGCACTACCACCACAAGAAGTTCTCTCAGTACGTGTTGTAGAGGAAGAGTTTTTCCAGGAAAGTGATCTTCACCAAAGAATTGAAGTTATCCTGGACTCTGGCGCAGACGTTTCTCTTGTGCCATCTTGGCTGGGAAAGGAAGGAACCCCTTTGAAGGTTCGCCCTTCGTCCATTCAGGACGCACAAGGAAAGGCAATAAAGACAGAAGGCAGAAGGATGCTGAACTTAACGTTCTTTGACGATGACGGAAGCTTTTGTCGCATTCAGGAAGCCTTCACCGTTGCCTCGGTGATCAACCCGCTGATGGCCATAGGCAAGCTGTTTCGAGAAGGTTGGGAGTTGCGAGTTAATGAAGAAGAAGGTATGTGCCTTACAGATGGAAGCTCAAGAATACCAGTGCATCTCCACAGGAACAGCTTGGCAGCCTACGCCTACGTACAAACTCCTTCAAGAAGCAGAAGTTACAGCAGCAACAACTACAAGATGGTTCGCACAGTTGTCCAGCTTAACAAGCACGTTCAGGAAGCAGTGAACCAAGAAGAACCTGGTTGGCACAACACAGACAGCACGGTGATCGTGAAGTGTGCCACTCAAAGCAGCTATGAGAACCCATCTCTCATGTACAGCCCTACGCACTTTCCATACAGAAGCACTTTGGTGAAAGAAGAGAGAGGATGGAGAGCAGTTGAAGTTTCAAGAAAGTACTCCGAGAAGGCAGACCCTTTTGAAGAGTTTGCTGAAGGAGAAAAGGAAGTGGTTACAGCCATTTCAGCAAAGCCAATTCCACTTTGGATTCTTGGCACTCCTTACGCTGCCGGAGACCGAGCAGACCAAGAAAGCCATGGTCGTGACTACTGGAAGATGGACCTCGAGAAAGGAGAAGTTGTTCGTCACCACGTAGTACCAAGAACTGTATTGTTTGACCCGACAGGTGTTGCCAACTGTCCTGTCCTCCTTCGAGATCTCGAGAACAGCAGGTATACCCAAGGAGACTGCATCTACAGCACAGAAATCTACGAACACAGCGACGACTGGAGAGCAGACCGTCTACCTCTACGTGAACACTTTCGTTTGCCGTGGTTTGGTCAAACAAGGTTTCGTGTGAAGTCAGGAGTTGTTGAAGACCTGAAGGCAGAAGCTGCAGCAGAGGAGCTAAAGAAGGAGAAAGAAGAGCACTACAAAGAGAAGGAAGATTCAGCAGCACCACCAGCAGCAGAAGAGAGCAAAGATGAGGAGATGAGAGAAGCACAAGAAGACCAAGAAGCACCACAAGAAGTTGTTGAAGTTTTGGAGGAAAGCTTCTACCACGAAGGCGTCGAGTACACAGTGCAAAAGAGCAGTCTTAAGGAACTACAAGCACTTTGCAGAGAGTACGGAGTGAAAACAACAGGAAGCAAGAAGCAGCTCTTGAGGAGACTCGCCACAGCAGTCAGAGAAGAAAGGCTCAGCACGCAACACAAGGAACAACGGGAACACCACCAAGCATACCACCTAGCACCACCACAGGAACCAACGGAAGAGGAGAGAGCGTACCACAACTTGACGCACCTTCCGTATCAGCCTTGGTGTCCCCATTGCGTTGCTATGAAAGCACGAGAAGACAACCACAAGAAAGGATTGAGCAAGCCAAGCAGCTCTACGGATTCCGCGAAGCCCGTCATCAGTTTTGACTTTTGCTATACAAGCACCACAGGAAGTGAAGAGCCACCAGCAGTGACTCTTGTCGCTGTGGACAGCTGGAGCAAGGCAGTTCTTGCAGGGCACTGCAAGAGGAAAGGAGGTGCAGGAAGCACGACGCACCTCGCGGAAGCACTCGTGCAGTTCACTACGCAGCTCGGGTACAACACCCTCGTTCTCAAAGCAGACAACGAGAACGCAGCCAAAGCACTCAAGGACAAAGTACAGAAAGTACGCAGCAGCCTTGGACTTTCTACAACACTACAGGAAAGCATTCCTTACGACCACGAAAGCAATGGAGCCGCAGAAAGAGCAATACGTAATACAAACAGTACGGAGGCAAGCGAACACCATTCTCGATGAACTCAGAGAAAGAACACAGCTGGCAGTACCGCACGAGCACGCAGTAGTAAGCTGGGCGTTTAGACACGCCTGCTGGCTACTCAACAGGTTCGCAGTGAGCAGCTCCACAGGAAGAACGCCACAGGAAGTTATCCACGGATACCCCTACTCAGGGAAGCTTGTACCCTTTGGTACTGTTGTGATGGCGAAGAGGTTGAAGATTAAGAGAAAAGGCGACAGGATCTGGAACGCAGGAATACTTTTAGGCAAGACAGAGCAGGACACATGGATCGTTGCACAGCCTGATGGCATACATATCACACGCAGCGTGAGGCCACTACCAGAACAGTACGACTCCAAAAGAACAAGCAGCATAGAGGTCCATACCTGGAACCTCAACACACCACTTCTTGGAGCAAGAGTACTTCCAGAGAAGAAGCAGAGACAACGACCACAGCTAAGCATCCTGCCCCCTGTTGCCGAGGAAGAACGCGAACAGCTCGAGAATGACGAGGCCGCCAGCGACCCTCCGAGTTCGGAGGACACCAGTGAAGAGCAACAGCGAGCACTTGAAGACAGAGAGGAACAAAGCGAAAGCAGCAGCATGAGCGTGACGAGAGACAGAAAGAGAAGAGCTGAAGTTGATGATGACACCCTTTTGGAGGAACTCAGAGCAGTTCAGCCACTCACAGCCTCAGCAGAAGCACTTGTAGCACCAGCTGAACCAAGAACAGAAGCAAGCAAGCACAGCCTTGAGCCTGAGGAACCAAGCTCACCCAGCAAGTCACGAAAGCAGGTCAACAGAGCAGAGGAAACAGAAGGTTACCTCAACATGCCTCATGATGATGAAGTCTACGAAGCAGATGATGGCTTTTTGTACGAGTCGGAAGAAGAAGAGGAGACAGAGAGTGAACCAACGGAAGTTTTTACCAAGGTCCCTGTCGAGTTCTTCGATGAGGAGAAAGGACCACCGAACGTGGATCCAGCTTTTCTTCAGAAGTTGGATGATGAAGCTACAGTCAAGGAAATCAAGAGGTTAACAAAAATGGGAGTTATTTCGTTGGTTTCTACGGACCCTCAGGAAGCAACTGAGAACGTACCTCTGGTAGACTCAGAGCAAGAACTTCACAAGTGGTTGACAACGAAGTTAGTGAAAGATTGGAGGTTCAGAGAAGCTACAGGTTTTGAAGTTGATGAAGCCACAGAAGGAACAACCAAGCCCAAGCAGACTCAGAGGTGCTGGCAGCGACGCGCCAGGCTCGTAGCCAGAGAATACAAAACGGAAGGAAAAAGGGAAGATATATTTTCTCCTGCGACAAGCCCAGGAATTACAAAACTGGTGCCCATGCTGGCTCTCGCCAACAATTGGGCGATCTACAGTGTCGACGTGAAAGACGCGTTTCTACAAGTCCCTCAAAGAACACCTTGTTTGTGTCGAGTACCTGAAGAAGCAGCTCACGTCGTACAGTCAATGCAGGAACAACCAGAACGCAGCCCTGGAACTTGGTGTTGGAAGTTAGGAAGAGTTCTGCCAGGTCAACGTGACGCATCCAGTCTTTGGTCAGACTTTTGTGATGGACTTTTGGTGGAAGAGAAGTTTGAGCGTTGTACAGCAGTTCCAGCACTTTACCGTCTTCTACGACAAGGAAAAGTGGTTGCAGTTTGCATTGTGCATGTAGATGACTTACAGTTTGCAGGAAAGAAGGAAGTCATCGAACCAATCCTCAAGAACCTCAAGAAGAAAGTGAACCTACAAGTTGAAGGACCTCTCTTGAACGAGGAAGACTACGAGAAAGGATTTTCTGAAGAGACCGTGAAGTTTCTCAAAAGGAAGTACACGTACGAACATCATGAACTACGAGTACATAGCGATAGCAAGTACGTGAAGAAACTCGTGGAGATCCTCAAGCTGGAGAAGAAGAAGGCCAAGAACTCACCTTGCACACCGGCCAGTCAAGAACCTGACGTATCCCAAGAACTGGACGAAGAACACTCGAGAACGTACAGAAGTTGTGTTGGCATTTTGCTGTACGTGGCGCACGACCGTCCGGACATTCAGTTCGCAGTACGTAGCCTAAGTACTGCCATGACGAAGCCAACGGAACGCAAAAGAAAGGAGTTGGAGCACTTGGCGCTCTATCTCAAAGGAACGTCAGACTACGCTGTTACGTACCACAGGAACAGCCCAGGAACGTCAGCTCTACGTCATCGCGCGGAAGAACCACAAGAACCACAAGAACCTCGAGAACAACCACGCGAACGTTTGCTCGAAGTTTTTAGCGACTCCGACTGGGCTGGAGACAAGCAGACTAGGAAGTCAGTGAGTTGCGCCATGTTCTACCTGGACGGTGCATATTTCTACAGCTACAGCAGGACACAGAAGTCAATAGCATTGTCTTCAGCAGAAGCAGAATACATGGCACTTACAGGAGCAGCAAGCGAAGGAATAGGACTACACGCAGCAGTTCGTTTTCTCACAGGAGAACGAGTACTACTGAAAGCATACACAGACAGTTCCGCATGCCGCGGAATTACAAACCGCCAGGAAGAGTCAAGCACTTGCAGATTCGTTTACTTTGGCTACAAGCAGCAATACGCGAAGGCAAGCTTACTGTACACGCAGTTGGTACAAAGGAGAACACAGCAGACCTAGGAACAAAGCCTCTTAGCACGAAGAGAGTGAAGCTTCTCCTGAACATGATCGGCATGTGCAGCAGCGAAGGAAGAGTTGGAGAGCAAGAGCGAGAGGAAGAAGAAAAGGCACAAGTTGTGAGAAGACTCGAGAAGATCATGAAGAACAAGAGCAGCATGTTATTTGCACTTTCGAGTTTGTTTGCAAAGACTGAGGCAGCCTACGTACCTTTCGCCGCAGCTCAAGAAGTAGCAAGCCCACAAGAAGTCCCCAGCAGTCCTGGAAGCATGTCGCTTCTGGAAGTTCTGGTGACGCTCGCCATGGTGTGCATGGCAGCATGGTTTGTCGTCAACGAGATGAAAAAGCCGCAGAAGCACAAGAAGTCGAAGAGAGAAGAGAAGGAAAGCAGTGAAGAAGAAGAAGAAAGCAGCAGCTCAGGAGACAGAAGAAGGAAGAAGAAAGGAGAGAGAAGAGAAGCGAAGACTGAAGCTCCTGCCGCTCAGGTGAACTACGACGTCGACTCCTTCAACGAGGAAAAGAAAGAAGTGACAGAGAGAGCAGAGAAGCTGAAGAAAGTTGAGGAAAGCCTGGAGAAGGAAAAGGAGGAGTTCGGAAACCAGAAGGCAGAGTTTGAGGAGACAGTGAAAAGGTTTTTGAAGAAGCAGAAGGAGGTGAAGGAAAAGGAAGACAAAGTCACAGAAAGAGAAGAGAAGGTAGAGAAGGACCTAGAGACCCTCCAAGGACAAGCCAAAGCCTTAAGCGAGAAGGAGACAGCCATTGAAGAAGCGGAGGAGAAGGTCAAAGAAAGAGAAGCAGAGGTCGAGAAGAAGAGCAGAGAGGCAGAGAGGAAAGAGAGAAAAGCCCAGGAAAGAACCACCGGCTACGACGAGGAGAGAGAGGACTACGCCAAGAAGTACGTGGACGAAGCAAAGAAAGACTTGGAGAGAGAGCTTAAAGTGCTAAAGCAAGAAGAGAAAGTAAGGAACCAGAAGCTCGACGACCTCCAGTACGACTACAAGAGCCTCAAGGACGACTACCAGTACTTCAAAGGTTACTCAAAGGAAGTGGACGCACTTCTACTTGCAGCTAAGGACAAGATCGGGAAGTACAAGAAGAAGGTCAAGAGCCTTAAGGAAACCATAGGTGCAGCCTTGTCTGGAAGCAAAGGTGAAGAAGAGACAGAAGAGGCGTACAAGACCAAAGCAGAAGAAGAGAAAGAGAGGAAAGAAGCACAGGCAAAAGAGGAAGAGAAGAAGAAAGGAAAAAGGCCAAAGCAGGTAGAGACAGAAGACCAAGAAGAGAAGCCGTCAAGCAACCAAGGAGACGACGCTACCGTCGACCCCAACGACATAGCTGAGTTCACGCAGCTTGGCTACGTGTGGGAGTTCAACAAGAAGACCCAGGAGTACCGCGTGAAGTGCGAGGACAAGAAAGGAAGCACGAGAATCAAGAACGCTCCGGTGAAAGGCCGCCTCCTTTGGAACAAGGTAACGGAGTGCTACAGAAAGCACAACGTGTGGTTCGTGGACGGAAAGGAGCTCGAGAAGTACCTCGAAGGCAAGGAGAACGAGAAGATCGAGGAAGAGGTGCAGCGACGCATCGGCATGAAGGGCAAGAACGACAACACAGGAAGCAAGGGAAAAGGCCCTTCCTGGGACGACGGACAGAACGACGGTTGGTGGTACAACGACCAGTGGAACAACGAGAACTGGAACACCACCGACGACGGCAGCAACTGGTACGAGAACGCGAACCCGCACAACAAAGGCTACTGGCAGACGCCAGAAGAGTGGGCGCAGCAGAACCAGTGGGAGCAGTGGACACCCAAAGGAAAGAGCAAAGGCAAGAAGTCCAAGAACTGGGTGCAGACCCAGTGAAAGGATCCCGAGAAGGGATGATCGAGCAGGTCAAGCAGTGAACGCTTGTACATATGTACATAGCTAAGCAACGTAAGACTTGATGTATACTAGCAAAAGAATTCATGTACAAAGTGTGAGCAAATGTATAGACGTAGCAAACTGGGGCAGTAAGCCTAGGTAAGCTACAACCTTCCAAAGTCTCACAAGAAGTTTCACAACAGGCAGGCTAGGAAGGCACAAGGGCCAGAAGAGGCAAGAAGCCGGAGAAGCCAAGAACAAGAGAAGAAGCCCGAAAGAAGAAAAGCCCGTAAGCTACGTAAGGGCAGAAGGAAACCGGGGTACGGGCCTCCCCGCAAAGAGTCCATAGGCTGGACCTAACTAGAACGTAGCTGTACATACAGAGTAGGTTTTTCAAGAAGGCCAATGTACAGACATAGAAGGCCTAAGTAGCAACAGGGCAGGAGTGCAGCTAGGTAAAAGACCAGGAAGAACGGAGACGAAAGTCCCTAGCGAAAGCACTGTACAGAAAGCCCTAGCAGTTTCCGAGAACACCCTAGGAACTCGCAAGAACTTTCTGAGGCGGGGTGTTCGTTTGTAACCTAGTGCACGTAGTCCCAAGTAGAGTGTGTAAAGTAATCACAGGAACACATGAAACATGTGTGTGAACCGCGACACGGAGGCTTAAGCAAGTCAGCCCGCGAAGTGAGAAAAGTGTGTTTGCGAGTATAGAGTGGGAAGGAAGGCTTGAGAAGCCTTTAGTTTCAACAGAATCCCGATGACGATGTCAATATGAAGGCGGCTGGAGTGGCTGCTCCTTCTGCCGCGAATGCGGGGACGGGGCGAGGCGCTTCGCCCGACAGTACGTCCGCTACTACACAAGAGCGGGTTAACCCAAAGTTCCCTGCGCCAAGCAATCGCACTGCATCGAATCCACCATCGAAGTTGCCCCGCGATGACAAATGGGCTCCTTCGATTGCGCGACCGGCGCCGGGTCGAGTGATTACGAGTGCAGAGGCGCGGGGACGCACACAACAGCGCGTTGCTGAAGCAACAGACGCCGCGCCGCCACCTCCTTCCGATACTGCTTCGTCAGAGCCACGATCTCGTACGATGGGTCCGGCCAAAGAGACAACGGCCAAGGGCAAGTCCCGAACAGGACCCAACGTGGCGGGCCTCATCGATGAAGCTGATGAAATGAGGCAACCGACCAAAGGCAAAGGAAAAGGGAAAGCCGAGAAAGGAAAAGGAAAGCAGGAGAAAGGCCGAGGAAAGGGTGATAAGGGAAACAGAGGAAGGGGCGGTTCCGGACGAGGAAGTAAGGACCGCACCCGTAGCCCCACCACTCGTAGGTAACGACCGTCGACCTACGTGGCGATGCATTGTGTCACTGCAAGGTGAATCCGGTTGAATCTTTCTGACCCATTTTCTACACGTCCATGGGGTCAGGCGGATTCTGATGGTGAAACCCGGCTATGACACAATTTCCGCTCTTCCTCAGCATTCCTTGCCTGCGCCGCGCTGAGAAGACCCACAGGGGTACAATGGCTAGCCATGGTATTTTCCTCGTGTGTCCCTCTCTTTTCACGGACACTCGATGCTGCCGAGTCTACACTCTGAGCGCGTTGAGTCTAGTGTGTTACCCCCGCATAGATCCGATGATGCATCCGATTGCCAACGATCACACGGCAAATCGCTATGCGCCTGACGATCACAAAAGGCTGCGTATGTACAGAAGTGAAACATAGGTTTGATCCGGATGCAGAGACCGACCCACATCTAATGGTTCTTTATTGCTTTAAGCTTAGCTGACCGGAAGAGGTGTGGCTCGGTGCACCATCAGTGTACGTGACTTTCCTAAACTCCGCTCTCCTCACGCGTGAGCTCGCGTCGAGGGGGGTGTGATTTGTCACGGACATGCGTACATGTGCTTCTGTGTCCTGGTTAGGATTCACGCCAACTTTGTCTCACTTACGCAGCTTGACTGCTCAAGGACCGCTGTTGCGAGTCCCAGGAAAAGGCCGCTTACGACCTGGGGGTTGTAGGACTTGCCTCTTACCTGAGCGTCAACCTTTACGGTTTTAATCTCTGATTATCCTTGCTTTGCTTGCTGCCTTGCTTTGATCTACGATTGGTTGCCTTGGGCTTTGTGACCGAGAGTTGAGTGGAATCCTCCGCTTTTCACACAAGAGATTTGTAGATATTTAAGTGTTCCTGAGCTTCAGGCCTCAAGAGCTTGTCGCTTGGCTGGGCAATTGCCATCATTTTCGCCGCTACAGGTGCGGCATGGACGGGACAGCATCCAGCATCGACAGGTGCTCGGAAAGCACATCCATGCACAGAAAGAGTGGCAACAAGCAGTGTGAGCAGAAGTAGTGTCCCAGCAGCACGATATTGGGCTCAGCACGAGGACCTGCACACCCCTCGCTCAGCCCCGAGGCAACAAAGAACTGACCCAAGACCCAAACTTGTACGTAGCAATTATCTGCAGAGGTTGATGCAGATGTGCACGTTTTGAGACAGGTCGGTCGGAGACGGAAGACAGCATGCTCGGTTGTTTGCGAGGAAGTTTGGAGGTATGACTGTCGATCCCACCCACCCCACCCACCCGACCCACCGCACCCACCGCACCCACCCCACCCACCCCACCCACCCCACCCACCCCGCCCACCCCACCCACCCCACCCACCACGCACGCAACTGCGTTTCGTTCCGGGGATCGTCCTGCAGCCTATTGGGCTTCCTTGGCACGACACTGTGCCTGTGGTTCGTACGCGGTCACATCGCGGATCCGTGTTCTGCTGCCTCGTAGCGCAGGGGCACCCGATGAAGTTTTAGAGGGCAGCCGGCACGTGCTTGCGATCAGTGCGCGTTTCACCTTCACCTGCGTCAGCATCCCCAGCTCTGAGTTCCGCGTCATTTTGCTCCGGCATCTGCCGTTGGAGCGTACTATCGCATGGGTGTGCCAGGGAACGGGGCACGTGTCGCCCCAAATGTGCGTCTCGCGGACATGAAACAGCCGGTTCCGGTCGCGGACGCCTGCAAGATCGAGATCGTGCAATGGCTTGCCGCCGTGGCACACCATACAGCTCGCCGTTGAAACAACCCTCGCGTTCCGCCGTCACCCGAGCGTGCTAGCCACGACAGTGGGCTGAGGCTCAACATGGCTCAACCGTGTTTCGAAGCAGGGGTCGTTGGGGTTCCGAATCCCTCCCTTGCGCGTGAACTTGCCAGTGCTCTTGTCAACAAGGTGCGCGGTGCCGACAACCCGTCGGACTTGCAAAGTGCTCTCACCGCTGTAGGCGCATGGGGCTCGCCGTGGTGGTTCTCTTTTGGCATTGGTCCTGACAAAACCGCTGTTCTTCCAGTCGGCTCACGTTCCTCCAGCTTCAGGTTCCACCTTCAAGGAGCTTCAGTACCATGTGTCAGTCAATACTGTTACTTCAGGGTGGTTCAAGCCTCCAGGAACCAAGCGCGATGCCTGGGCAACCTGCACGAACAGTTTCCGCAACGCTACCAAACAGAAGGTTCAACAAGAGTGGGCCCAAAACACTGCCTTGCCTAACCCCAGCCTGTTCCGACCAAGGCTCAGAAAGGGAACCGTTGACAGAAACTCGCGCAGTGGTATTGGTGATCAAATCCGCAATGACTGACACTCCAGCACAAGCCAGCTTATGTGGCACAGCATCCCGCCATGCCACGTCGAAGGCCTTCCGCACGTCAACGAATGCACAGACTGTGCGACGACCCGCCCGAAGACGAAGGGTTTCTGTCACGGTGTAGATTTGCTCTTCAGCCCCCACTGGAATCCAGCCTGACTCTCGTCGAGCGAGGGATCAATGTGCGGCAGCAAGCGCTTCAACACAAGTCGTTCAAATATGTTCTGACAGCTGCACAACAAGCTGATCGGCCGATAATTCGTGAACTGGTCTGCAGCACCACCCTTGTGGAGAGGGGCAACTTCAGGAGAACGCCACACGGTCGGGACGATCGACCAAGACCGCACAAGCTCGAAGAATACCAGCAGTGCGCAGCGTAAGCACGGATCCTCAACCCGGAGCGCTTCGTAAGGCAAACCATCTGGACCAGGAGAACGCTCACAGGGAAGCTCTTGCAACACTTGGATGAATGCGGCCTCCGAAAACGGAAAGTCAAGGTGACCAATGTTAGCAGGCATGGAAGCTCTCAACGGTCGAACTGCGCCTTCAACATCAACTGCTTGCGAATCAGGGTTCACAGCAGCAGGCCGAACATTCAAAGGCACTTCGCGGAAGTGAGCACGCCCACAGCATCCAAGCAAGCTGGGCCTTCAATATGGCCATCGTGAAGGTCAGATGAACGCATGGCACAAGGCAACACACGCCGTCACATCCCCATCTGCTGACGAATGTTTTGCGCAGCCACGCCTGGGTTGTTGCGGGCGAACTGCTCCTGCGAACCAAGCCACGTGTTCCAGAACTGGGCTTTCTCGCGACGCCCGAAATGGTGAAAACGAATCCGCTTGGCACGAAACTCTACCCGAGCAGCAGGTGTTCTTTCACCTGTGAAACGGAGTGCCGAGCACGAGGAAGACTGGCAGTTCCGGCAGCAAGGATTGGTCACCAACCCACACGGGCGCCTCCCTTGCCGCCGCACGGAGCCACCGCCCTAACCGCATCACCCTCGGCTCCGGGGTTGCCACTTTCGAGCTCTCGCTTCCGAGTAGTGGTTTCCCGCGCTACCAACCTCCGGTGCTGGAGGTGCACTCGATGCCGTCGGCAACTACAGCTCGGTGTGCTCCTGCCGCCATGCGAAGTGTCGCTGAGCAGGGTTGGCTGCAGTGCTTCAGGGAGAACTTGTTGAGCGTGCCTTCGCAAAGTAGAATTGCTGCCACGCACCTCGGAGCACTGTACGTTATTGGCACCATCCCAGGTCATCCTTGGTCCAAATCTTGGCTCTCGAGGAGGTGCTGCACGATGCAGCCCGTAGTTCGCTGCACGGGGAGCAGGACCCGCTGTTTAGGCAAACGTGAAGTTGGTGCAAGGCAACAACAGAGACGTTCGGCGGATGGCCCAAAGACACGCCGTGCAAACTTCCGGGAAATTTGGGGTATTGATGGGGGACAGAGCGACGACTATGCGAGGCTGGTTATACGACTTTGGCTGGTAGCAAGTTGTCAAAGGATCGGGTGGGGTGTCCTGTGTCAGCAAATCCATAAATTCGTCGCCATTGCCGAGACCTGCAAGAGCGCAACGCATCCGGAATTGCAGCGCGGCGGCGGCCAACGCCTTTTCGTCCCTGCTGTGGAGGTGTCGGGGCGCTGGAACACCAACTCGCAGGCGCTTGTCCGAGGTTTTCCACTCGCTGAGCCAGTCGTTGAGCTGCTTCCCGCCGCACTAATCGCGGGACATGCCCATCACGATGGGCCACAGGACTCCGTCACACGATTCCCACAAAGCCAAGTGCTCCTCTGGTCTTCTTACGAGACAACGTGTTTCTGGCAATCGAAGGACAGCAGCCGTATTTTGCAAAACCGCCGGTGAGGCAACGCTTCAATCGATGAGCTTCAGCCAGCAAAGGCTGGAGTTTGGTTCGTTATTGCCTTGCCATGAAATCATTTCTCCGGCGTAGGTGCTTCCCCACGGATCACAACAGTGCTGATGCACTTAACCGACGTCGCCGCAAGAGACGTCCAGCTTCATTTCCGTAAGCAGTCGGACAAGTCACGAGTGGAACTTGGGTTGGTGAGGCCTGTGCAGGCTTTTGAAACCGTTAGACTTAGCAAGAATCCTAGGGAGCAAGTTTGTGACGAGCTCGGCGGGTAGCAAAGTTCTATGGACTTCAAATTTCGCGTACTGCACGCAACTGCGGGTTACGGGAACGCTGTGGATGCGGGGTTTTCGACTTTGTGTCTCCAACCAGCTGGTGGCAATTTGTTTAAAATCCGGACTGCTCACTGTCGAAGTGGCAGGGTGCTGGGCCCCACCGCGTCGGGTCCAGCACGAGCTCGAGCGCCGGAGCGTCTGCCGAGGCGCGAGGCACCGCTGGCCATGCTCGACCGGCGGCCGACAGGGCTGTCGCACGCTGAACAGCGACCGACAGTTGAGTGCACCAATCAACGCCGAGCCCAAGCGGTAGCGGCGGCATTGCGCACAGCGGGAGGGACGCGCAACCGGCGGAGGCGAACGACAGAGGGCGCGAACGACAGCCAAGGCTCGCGCGTGCCAACGGCTCCTAGCCTCCGAGCCGAGTACAACCAGGTGCTGGTTGCGCACGAGGTTTTGTACTTCGCAATGTGAGCAGGCACGTTCTGTGCCCACCGTGAAGTGCCTAATGGCAGCGCTTGTGCATGGTGCCTATTTTTGGCCTGCTGCTTGGTGACGATTCCGGTTCGAATCACGTCCTTACGGGTCCTAAAACCAAAACTGTGTCCGCTGTGTTGCCTTGTTTCCTGGGTTCCCTTGGTTTTGCTTTGCATGTTTCTTTGTTAGGGGCGAATCACATATGCCATGGGTACGTTATGATGCCGTGTCGGAGCGCTCGGATGCTGAGTTCGGCATCTCCGCGTTCAATGTGATGTGACGTTGCAGTTCTTTGCGCCTGTGCCAGGGACAGACCGTGCCACTGTGCTCCGGTGACGATGTGTCCTGCCGCCGAGCTGGTCATGTTCGGTCTGATCATGTTCGGTGCGCAGTGATTGATTCATGACCTGTTTCGCTATGCTTCTGGTTACGCTGTCTGGCGCAATAACCGTACCGGCCAAGCTTGCTTCTACTATTCGACAGGCTGCAGTCTTGTTCTTCCGGTGCAATTGCCAGAGCCGCAGATCTTTCGCTTCAATTTGCAGCTCTGCTGGCTGCTGCTCCCCGTAACGCTGCATGTGAGTTTAGGTTTTTTTTTTTTTAGTATTTTATTCCTTCTCTTGTGTTTTTTCTCCCACACCGGAACAACTTGTGATGTTTGTTCTACAAGACTATGGTCCGTCCGCTCCTTTCCGGGCACGGCTGCCGCTAATCCTGGCTCGCCCATGGGTTACGCGGGCTGCTTGTGTTCCGGTCTTGTGGCCGATTGCCGGGGACCTAAACAGGAAAGGTCTGTCTGGTGGCTTTGGTGGTCAGCATTATCTGATTCCATTGCCGTTCTTATCCAGAGATTTTCCTGAGCCTTTTAGGCCTTCCGATCCGGTAGCGGTAGGCTAGGCCCCAGAGCTGAGATTTTGGGCCGATCACGAGGAAAAAAAATCCTTTTGTTAATGACCACGGCGTTCTCACGCCAGCTGCATGCTTGTATGCATGCATAAGGAATGCAAAGACCTTTATCATCAGGCGGAAAGAATATCAGCAGTCAGCAACACAAAAATGTACAGTTCAACGAACGTGCTTGGTTTCACAAACTTACCTTCGGGGGCCAGCGTAATCAGGATGTGTAGCCGTGCAGCTGCTGGGTATTCACCTTCGTGATGCACGGGGCCAGGGTCTATATCCGATGGCTTCGCCCGGCCCCGGGTTTTTGTGATTCCTCTGGATGCCTCAGCCACGCAACGCAAGCGCAGAAACCAACCATGCATAAGTCACGAAACCAATCCAACAGGACTTGCTGAGTTTTGACACGGCATGTCGTTGCAAACTCCGCGTACGGTGTCTGTTGTGCCTTCTTGCTTTGTGGGGGGCTTGATTTGCTTCAGCATGGTGTGTGTGTGTGTGTGGGTGCTATGCCATCGCGTTGGGCATTTTGGCTTAAATCCAGACGGTTTGTCATGTTGCAGGGCAACGTGTGCTAAGACATTGTGGCGGTGCATGAACGAAGGAACAGTTCGAAGGTTGACCTTCGAATGAACGACATGTCCTTCCCGTCATTGGACGCGCCGCGCGCGGGCCGACGAATTTCTGCCAGCAACGTTGAATTGCAATTGGCATACACACTGTGAAGATCAACATGAGCTCCGACCCATGGCAATTTCTAGGTCTACAATGTTTCGTGCTCGCAAATCATGTGGTGTTTGCGTGTTATTGCACAGGTTTGGCATCGACCAAATATACGGGTGGTTTGTTAAAATGATGGTCCAGTTGTTGGGTCCTTATTATACTACGGCACTTAACATTTAGGGTGCCCAGACAGGGCCCATAATTTTGACAACCAACCAGAATCACCCGTATGCTTTAAAACATGTTCGCTGCGAGTAACCTTGACCGAAATAGTTGGATCGATTGTGCTGCATCGTCGCCCCAATGGCGGGCGTTGCAAAGCTTGTTCATATCCTAGGCGTGCATATGTTTTTGCTGACAATCCCCATGTCCAATTAGGATGGTAGTCTTGGACTCGAATGGGCGCAAAGCAAAGCAGGTATTCTGGATGGGCCCAAGCTTGAGCACGAGACTTTGGGAACTGCGACGTGGTTACGAAGAATGTTGCATAGTGCTGTGAGCGATTAAGATTTTCCTGCACGGTTTGTTTGGAGTATTAAGATCTCAAGCCTGATGACCTCGGGCTTGCTGGTTCGTAGTCACAGTCTGTCGATGACAATTGCCTCAATCACTTTTGCGTGAATCCTGCATATTGAAGTCGTTGTAGGCTATACGATTCCGAAACTTGTTCCCATCTGAGTTTTCCTGCAGGTGTCTGCAGGTCCAACTCCTCCACGGGCATCTGTCAGCCGTGCACTTGAAGCTCATCGTCCCAGTCAGGCTCTATGCAGCCACACGGGGCGGGGAAAGAGGGATGTGTTTCCGCTTCAGTACACGGTCGATACCGCCATCAATGTTGCATGAACACATGGTCCATTCGCCAGACAGAATCGGCCAAGGCTCATCAAGCCCGAAACTCCACATGTAAATGCTTTTGCACCAGCTCGTTCTGGGCAGCTTAAGAACATTTCGTTTGAGTATGAGGGCGTTAATCGTCGCAGATGTTGTGTATTGAATAGGAAGAATATGAGAATATGTGCATGTACAGACACATGAACATGTAGAAGTAGACGTAGATGTATCAAGATCGTATTATGCCGTCATTGTTTGTTAGTTCTGCCGTGGTGACCGACTACATGTTGACTTGCGGCTACTTGTTCATCCTCGGTAGCAGAGTTTATCTAACACACAAAGTGCAATGAGTTTTTACTATAGCATGTTATATTTTGAAGCTGCATGGTCAGCAGTACGCTTGTTCTCATAGCCAGAACGTTTGCTGTTTGTTTGAGGGGTTCCATTCGCTTTGTCGCGCTCGAAATGCGCTTGCAACACACTTTTTCGCTCTGTTTTGGTGAACGGCTTGGAAAACTCGACCCGAATGTCTTGGGGAGGTCCCGTTGGAGCAACAGCTCCGTGCCGAGCTGGATGCATTGCGCAGGGAGCTGGCAGCCCTGGAAGCCCCGACAAGGAGCCTGGAATTAGTTTCGCAATGTTTCGGAATGGCTTCGATTTTCCGGCTTTTGCTTTTCCCAGTGATGTCCAACACAGCTGCTGCGACCAAGACAACCAACATTGTAGCAGCGGGATCGGTGACGGTATGATACGGTTAGTCGTAACAGCTAAGTTTAAGATTACAGATTTAATAACTACAACTGGCCACAAACGTTTGTACCTTTTCCCGATGCTTGTCGGCAGGCTACAAGGGAAAGACCAGGTTAAGGGGCAAAGCCTCCAGCACTAAACGTTGAACGGCATCGTGTGGATGGGCTCGATAGCGACAATGAGAATTCGAAGTCGAAGCAAGGCTTAAATTCTGAGCAAAGGAAACCCGAAGATCCAAACCCAAAAACGACAACACCAGCGAAGAGGACTGAGCGCATTGAGCGCAGCGAGCGCAGCATAGGTGTCGGGCCGGGCACAGGGAGTCCTCAACGGCCGGTAGCCAGAGAGGCACCAAATATTTAGGGCATTTGGGGGTTTCAAGGTTCTGGGCTGTGGCTGTAGATGTTAGACTATTCTTGGTTCCGTGCGTCGTTGTCCTTGGAAGTATTGTGTGTAGGATGGCCCATGCCGCCCCCGAGGTGGAACGTCCGCCAGATTGGCATGTCGGAAGCCCGCCTGGCTGGCGGCCCGGGCCGCGCAACGAACGGGCCCTGTCCCTGCCGTCCCAGCTGCAAGCGAAGCTTGATGCGGTGTTTCGGGAGCCTTCGCCTGACCCGCCTTTGCCCGAGGACGGTCTAATCAGAGAGCCCGTTACCAATGCACAATCTTCAGCCAATGCCTCCACGCATTCCGCAAGCAACGCCAGCCCCAGCCCACCTCAGACTGGCAGCCGAGCTCTCAGCTCCCACGGCCCCTTGGGCCCCTTGGCCCCCTCGGGCACCTTTTCTGCTTGTCCCGGCCAGGTGGCCTTGGACCCGGGGCCTTGGCAGATCCCCAGCTGGCCCCAGGCGCAGCCTTTCGCGCAGCCTCCCGCGCAGCCTCCAGCTCTCCAAGCCTCTCCCAATCGAAGCCTCTCTGCGTCGACAGCGGTGATCGAGCCCGTGCTGGAGGCGCCCTGGGCAGGTTTCGCGCCACGAGCACCCTTCCAGCTCTCAGTGACGCAGAAGTCTAAGAGTCTAACCCGACACAGGAAAGCAAAATCAAGGCTGTTGTCCTTGTATTATGGAAGCACCCGTAGCTCGTGCACTTATTCTTCATGTTTATTATAATTATACCCCAGAGGTGTGGTCCAAAGATTCAAGCTTTTTGCTATACCGCAACAACTGTCCCGTGTTCATGTTCTAGCTCGCCGTCCTGGGAACGTTTCTTAAATCTACTGTCAGGGATCGCTGCACCAGCCCTTGCATTTCCATAAGACCCACATCACAACTCTTAAGAAGTTGTGTTGGCACGCCCCTTGATAAGTCCTGTTGTCTGCAACACGGATCCGGATTCCGTGCATGGTTTGGCTGCTTGCAAGCTCTGGACTTGGAAAACCCATATCCTCCTTTCAAGGTTGCCTACATGAGGTATACAAGTATACCCTTAAGGCCCTTAATGTTACAAAGCCACCCAATTTCGAGGACCTTGCAGGCTCCGCACCCGGGCTTTCGGAGTTGAAAGAGCTGGAGGAGCTTCGCGGCGCGCTGCTCGCCGAGCAGGAGCCTCATCACGAGCGAGGAAAGCGTTGGGCGCCGAGTTTTATGCGCAGAGCTTGAGATGAGCACTTTGGAGTAGGCTTAGGGTTGTTCGCAAGATTTTTCGGTGGGGTCTAAGCAGTGTTTCTCATGGACTTTGAAGCGTGGTCTGAGTTCCTTGATTGGCGCTACTCATCGTATTTCCGTGTACTTACCGCACTCATCCTCCCTGTTCACGAAGTTCCATGTATGGGCTTGAGTGGCTTCATCGGTTTGCAGCAAAGGCAAGCAAATTGGGCACTTTCTTACAGTTCGCGCTGACCGATCACTCCTTTCATGCATCCTTTTCCGCCCAATGTGAATTTTTTATTTGCAATGACATCATGCTCTATTTCGTCTGTGGCCTCAGATATCTGGGCGTGATCGCTCTCTTTCGGTTGTGCCTGGTCTTGTGTAGAGTGAGAGCACAGTGAAGCTCTTCGAAGTGTGAGGCTGGTGATCGCAGAACAGAAGCCTCAAAATGAAGAAAGCCCCCGACCTTTCTGGACCTGGGATTGTGCACCTGAAGCGTCCCAAGACCGTGAAGCCTCGACGTCGTGGCTTGGAGACTGAAACTCCGGGCCCGGAGCCGGAACATCCAGCCTGGACTTTCGCTGAACCCAAAAAAAAAGGGGACCCCAAGCTGCCAAGAGGAGCTCCGTCTGCGTCTGGCTGCAGGCCTTGCCGAGGCCGGGTGCCAAATTGACGTCTTATTCAGGGTTGATGGGATGTCTTGTCTTGAGAGCTAGTCATGTTGGGATTCTTCGAGTATGGTTTCCAACCAAAGTCAAAAGGTCAAGCTTGTTTCGAGGATGCAGCTTTATTAACCGATTCTAATTGAGCTTCAACCCGGACCAAAACCCTAAAGTCTGAATGAACCCTAAGAACCCTAAATCGGCCCTAGATCCACAGCCCAAAGCCAAAGCCTTCCAAAAAGCCTGGGACCCCTACCCGATAATGGGCTATATAATGGGTATATAATAGCTTTATGAAGGGTGTATACCTAGGGGTCCTATATGGGCCTCTGACCCGAGAAGCAAAAGAGCTCAGGCCGCGGAGGCGGTGAGCGGCTTCGCGGCCGCCGAGCACCTCACGGCCGCGGCGAAACAGCTCCGCGAGGTGAAGAGCCGACTTCGTTGTCGATGTCTTTTTTGTGGTTCTGTTGCAGGTTAAAGCAAGCGGGGTATGTAATATGTGGTCGTGCAAGGCTTATCTGAGCCTAGGATTTGGGTTCTCTCGAATCCTGCGAGGCCCCCAGTGCCGACTTCACGCTGCACGGGCTTCGGTCCTTGGCGACGCCCGGCGGATGAGATTTGATGAAATTTGTGCCGCGCGGACAGCTCGAGCTTAGTTGAGCCATCAGGCCCCTTGAATTCCCAACCCTGGGCGTTGAACCCAGAGCTTAAACCCGGGAGCAGCCCGTCGGTGTGTTCATCAAAGCCTCAAGGCGCGAAAAGGCTCGGCAGTGGTGGGGCGGCAGTGGAGAGTGCTGCCAGTTGATACTGTTGTTCGCAGCCGCTCCGACCGCATGTCCCGTATCAGTGCACTCTACCACGGCGGAACTTTTGCAGGGCCGAGAGACGCCTTTCCTCAGCGTTCGAGACTGCTGAGGCTTGTCAAAGGCCTGCTACTGGCACAGACGGTATCATACAGTGTCCGTTGGAAAGAGCGTCAACACTGTACGTGGGATGGCTATCAGACACCTAGATGATACGAATCGTACTGTCATGGCGCAAATAAGACGCATGGGGAAGACATCATGATATTACGGCTAACGATTATGATGGTAATGCGCACAGTAGTTGAGACCCTTCATTCGAGCGGATAACGTCTTCCTGTGCGCGCCGGTTGTCTAGCCTCTCTGAGAGCACATATCCCTACATTACTAACAACAGTCTTACAACTTGTAGCCATAATCTTCTGTTCCTGCACATTGGATGTACTCCCAGGATGCTGGCTGCTAGAGGAGCCCAGCGCGCGCGTGAGGAGATGGCTCCACGGATGCTGGGCTTTTGCCGGAGCTCGTGCTTTTTCGTATCTGACAACAGGGTCCCCGTCCCCGAGTACTAGAGAGAGTGGGATTCGGTCGGGGGTCTGGGATTCGAGTTTGGGTGTTTCTAGCAGAGCAATTTCGGAAGCGTTCCTCAGCGTGTCCGGGCAGGGGAGCCCTGTCGGCAGTCTCACACGGTCAGGCAGAAGCTGACAGTAATGATAGGACAAGTTATGTGCCATCGTTCTTTAACGCCGGCCCGTCGGGCGCCCGAAGATGATGAGGATTGAGTGGCTCCTTTTGAGGAATGACGGTGTAAGGAAACCCATCACGCACATCCCGAAACGGTCCCTCGATACTGTCACCTTGCCACGAACGTTGAACCGAAGTGGATTTCTCGGCGTGCTTCGGCTCGCTTTGAGAATCCACCATCACTGTTTGCCTCGAGAAGGGCACCGTGGCTCATATTCATATCGACGCACCGACGAAGCAAGCCTGTCCTCTGTCTCGAGCCCCGCTTCCGGCAAGCTTTCCCAAGACAACTAGACTTTCCGTGCTTGGCCCAGGATAAAGACGGCAGAGGATCAGCGGAAGCACGTGGAAATTCAGATGCAGGAGGCAGGGCTCCGCCGGCCTTCGGCTTTCTTGGACTTCTACCCTTAGAGGAAGACCATAAGGGCTCTACATGGCTCTACTGGATTTGGGGCTTCGGGGTGTGCTCAGGCGGGTTCAGGGTTCAACGCTTCAAGGTTGAGGTTGAGAGGTCGGAGTTTTTGGTTTCAATCGGCTTCATGGCTTGATTGTATATAACTCACCGCAAGCCGAAGTCCACCATATACCTGAAAGCCCTTTGGCTCAGTATCTCAGCCTCAGGCTGGCTTTAAGTAGTCGCCTGATGGGTTTGTTTGGAGAGGCAGTGCAGGCGAAGACCCCGCAAGCTTGTTCCAGGGATCGAAGGTTGAACCCCAAAGCCTGAAGCTTCAGGGACTGAATTTGCATGTCAGGGGTTGTCGGTTCCCGGCTCAAGCCTTGTAGGATGTGCGGCGTCAGGTTGTGGGCTTTCGTCCCTTAGGGCCTCAGGGGTTCCTTTCGAAGCTCTCGGGGTTCCAGTAAGGGTTCCTGCAGGGATTCTATGAGTTTGTTGAGGGCTATCCCGTGTTTGACCCTAAGGGGCAGCTACTAAGAACAGCTCCAAATCAACAGTTCGGTGACTTCGGATTGATGTGGCCGTCGTGTCGAATTCGTTGCGTCCGCAGTCGGCTGATCCCCTGGGCACAGCGCAGGCGAGCGCGGAAAGCTGAAGCCAAGAGAAGGGTCTGCAAACCCATTTGCGTCAGGTAACCCTACCCCCGAACCCAAAACCCTAAACCCGGTGTCTGTAGGTGAAGAGAGTTGCGGCCCTTGCAACATTTCTACCCTTTTTGCCGGCCCTAAGGCTCAAGTCCTTGAATCTTATGAACTCCCAAGTGCCGATTCCCAGGCATACCTGCAAGCTCTTTTGACTTGCTAAGTCTCGTTTGACTTTGTAAGTCGGCATGATAGGCTTCAATAGATGGGTTATGGGGAAGAAAGCAGATTGTCCTGAAACTGGAACACCATGCTGCGGCAGGTCGCTGCCGCGTCCCGCATCTTGACTGCCGTCGAGCGGTGCGTTTTTGGTTGGGCGTTGGCGTTTGGGGTCTGGGATTTTGAGATTGGGGTATACATCGGGATTTAAGCTGCAGGTTCTTAGGTTTATTATAAGGGTTCAGGCCGTTTGAAGTCGGGTTGAAATGAGTTTAAGCTTCAGTGTTTCAGGGGGTCCAGGTCCAGAGGCTCCGCTTGCAACCAGGCAAGGAAACACCTGTGACACAAAGGTTTCTTGTGCGATGCACTCCTATCAGAGGCCTATCACTAGTACTGACTTCAAGTTCGGTTGCAAAGGTGCACCACGCGTTGCGAAAGCCTCAACTGGAAGACACCCAGACGAACAGCAGCACAGGGGTTTGAGTGCCTGCAGTGTAGGGCTAAGACTTTAGGGTTTAGGGTTGAGAAGTAGCCATGTTGGCGCCCTGGGCCCAGAACCCCTCGTAACGCTTCGTAACAGCTGTCCTCACAGATTTAGGTTCCAAGGTTGACTTCGACCTGAAAGCATCAAGCCTAAGGCAGTGTGGCTGCCTCTTCTCGGCTGCTACTGGAGCGGATGCAGGACATTGGGAGGTGCGCACCCCTGGGTCTGCGGGTTACGCGTACTAAAGTTGCATACAAAGTTCGGGTCCAGGAATTCCAACGTAGATAGAACTGATGCAAGGAAACCTAAACCCCGTCTGAACGCTGGGCTTCGGTTATGCGGGATACTATCTAGATTCAGCAAGGCAAAGGAGGCCTTTAGATTCAGTTGATGGGTAAGATCTGATGCAGAGGCAGGCGGCTGCCGGCAAGCGAGTGGTCTGCACTTTGGCAAAGCCCAGGACATGTCGCCGCTCGTTCCGGGGCTTCCAAAAAGTGGCACTCCCTTGTGGTGTCGCCTTCACGGGTTGTGGCTGGGATGCGTGCGGACCTTCGGTGCAGGGTATGAGAGCTGGTATGTGGATGCTGAGGTGCCGGTTTGGGGGCTAAAGGTACTTCAAGATGGACTTTGTTGTGTCAAGCTCGTAATTTGTTTCGCGATTGTCGAGTCGGTTGGCTCAGTGAGCATCGGGGTCCTCTGTGTCGCGGACCCGTATTGTTCAGCTTTGTTTCCAAGTGCAGGAAGCAGCCGGACCGCTGTGGGGACGAGGTGCCATGCGTGTGCTTGGCCGGGTACTGTGACGCTTCGGGATTCGTTTCATTCTGGGAGCCACCGAAGGTAAGGAACTTACAGTAATGTTGTGCACTTCTGTGTGACTAGCTTATGAAATTTTTGCATTTCTGAGCAAAGGCCTCTTCAGTTGGTGCTTGTGACGTAGAGTGTGGCGGCTGAAACAAACATGGGCACCACCACCCCGTCATCAGCAGAGTGCTTTGCAGGGCCCCTTTTGCAGAAGCTTCGATTGGCTGAAAGAAGCACAAACAACAGCAATCCAAGAAACCCGAATCTCAGCGCAGGCCGTCGGCTGCGTGGTTTGGGGTGGCACGCCGGCCGCCGAGATTTTCAAAGGGCCGAGGGGGTTTGAGGGTTGCTGTGGCCAGAAGGTCCCGGGTTTGGGGCGCAGGTACAAGGGCTGAATGACTGAAGTTCAGTAGTTGAATCGCACCTCGAAACCCGAAACCTCAGCCTCTGTGTGCACTGGCCCCGAACTTGCGAGCCTTGAAGACACCTCCAAATCCCGAATCCCAACACCCAATCGTGCCGAAAGCCCTAAAGGCAAGAAGGAATGGGTTTAGTTTGATGGACATGGCTTTGGTGTTGTCGGGCTTAGGGTGGGTGCTTGCTGCTGCCATGGGACTTACGAGTTGTTTGGGCTTGGCATAGGTTGAATAAACATGATTGTTCTGGAGTAAGAGCTGCTGTTGCAATTCGAAGTTACATACGTCTTGGGGCCTTGCCCGCGTTGAGCGAGTGTGAGAGTCGAAATGCCAGGTTGGCGTGCCTGAACGCCGAATTGGCAAAGGCCGAGCTGGGATGGCAGGATTGTCTGGGGGTGAGAGAGAAGGCACCTTCATCAGGCTTAGCGTTCCCAGAGCTCAAGGGGTTGGATGGTGCTCTTGTTACTTCTGCTGATCTCTCAAGTCTTCTAGTCTCGGGCTTTGTTCGGAACTTTCAGTTTTGTTGACGATTGCATATGAAGACTCTACTTGACACTTGAAGCCCTAAGCCGCATGCGAGTCGATCTGACGCGCTCTTTTGGAAGTCTTCCAGCTTACGCAGTCCCAGCAAAACAGGCAAGTGAGAGGAACGACCCACCCCGCGAGCTCTCGTTGCAATACGATTATCCTTGAATGTTCATGGCTTTTCTCAAGCAGAGTTTGTCGAGAAGCAAGGGCCCCACGAGGGTCCGGAACTCGAAACAAGGCCCTAAACCCTAAACGCTTGTGTAACTACCTTTGGATACCCATGGACTTCAAGCTTCAAACCCCCAGCCATCCAAACCACCACCGAAGCCCCACATTCCAACCAGAATCTTAAAGCCCTTAAACCTAGATCCCAGATTCCTCAAGCCCTAATGTGTGAGGCTGGGATCGTTTTGCAGGACGAGGGCTCATGAGGTTCAGGGCATAGAGCTCTGAGATGCGGCTTTCGGATCAAGGGAGGGTCTCCAAGCTCTGAAGCTCAAAGGGTGTTTGGGGTTTAGAGGTAGAGGATGAAGGCTGAAGTTGAGGCTGTTGGGTTCATGGTTTCTGGCCTTCCCTGGGCTCAGG